AACGAGAGAGAGAGAGAGAGAGAAAGCACCCTCGAGGGGTTTGCCACATTACAATCCCTTCTCCTCCCATTCTCCTCTCAGGATTTTGGGTATATATGTAAATTCGCTTGGCTGTTTTTTAAGTTACCAAGTCTGGGGCTTGAACTGTGCAAGTGGCCAGCTCTCTTAACCACTATGCCACCTGGCAGACCACCTCCCCCACCCCCGGGATTTGGGGCATGCATGCCCACACACCTGGTGTGTTTCTCAAGCTGCTGGGTCAGGGACTCAAACTGAGCAGTCAGCCATATGGGATTCGCCCACGTACGCACCACACCAGCTGGCTCCATCTACTCGTTGTTTTTAAAAACACGTTCATTTGATAGTATGCAATTGGAAATGACTGTGAAAACCCATTCTCAACAAAGAAGTGTACAGAGGCAGGCCAGGCGGTGAGGCAAGCACGACTTTGGAGCCAGCAGCATTTAGGCTGAAATGCCAGCTCCATCCTCTCTACTAGCTTTGAGATCTTCGGAAAATTACGTGCCCGTTTCCCCACCTGACAAAAGCAGTCGGTGAATGACCTGCCACATGGCATTGCTCTGGGCGTTACAGGAGCGGAGGCGCGTACAGGAACTGGCGTGGGCCAACCCAGGTGAACCTTGGTAAAAGCGGCCCTTACTGTCAGCATGAACATTGAGCATTCTCATGGCTTTTCTTCCCTCTGCCGTTGGCGTCTCTTCCCCCCACTCCAGCTCTAGCCCACAGCCAAGCCCTGGGGAGAGGCCTCGGGAGAGGCCTCGGTACTCACCTGCTGGCAGCTGCTGGCCCAGGAGGCCCGGAGGGCGCCCCAGCCTCCCGAGCGTGCGGCCTTGCTTTCCAGGTGCGTCCGCAGCTGCATTTCCAGCTCCTGGCTGACTTGCTCGAGGGCATGCACCTTGGCCATGTATTCCACCAGGCAGCCCCCTAGGTCCTCAATTGCAGCGTGGTCCTTCTCCATACCTGAAGCAGGCACCATGGCCAGGCCTGAGCTCCGCAGGCCCTGCAGGAAGACACTGCTGATGCCCAGGGCCCTGCGGGTCACACGGGCACCCAGGCCGCCTATGCACCCACTGGGCGCTGTCCCTACGTAGACCCCCGGCGACAGAACGAGGCCACCTGCAGCGTTGGTCCTGGAGGCTGGGGGGCTATCCAGGGAGGACGATGACCGTGCCCCCCTGAAGGACACCCTACGCCTCTGGAGGGGCATGCTGGAGCTGGCACTGGCAGGCAGGTCCACTACCACTCGCCTCTCGCTCATCACCCCTCTGTCTCTGCAGTGCCCAGTGGGTTTAGAGTCCAGTGGCTTTGGTCTACAGTCCCAGCGTCCCTGTGGCCTGGTCACGGGCCTCTCTGGAAGCTCCCCTCTCCCCGGGCTGCTTTGTCTGCTATCTTCCATGAGTTTCCATCATTCACTGAGCTGAAAGAGAACAGGCCCGCCCAGAGCTGTGTGCAGAGAGGCACTCATGCATTCTTTGATGCAGGGTCATGTGCCCAACCTCCCAGAGTTTTCTGCTGGTGGTGGAGGAGGCTGGGTCAGTGCAGGCGGTGTTGGGGGGTTCATCTGGGTTTGTGTATTTCACTACCTAAAGAGGGCAAGGTAGGCGCCAGACGGCCCCACTTCGTAAACAAGTAACCTGAGGCTCAGGGATACAGATGATCACCTGCCCTAGGCCCAGATCACAAACTCAGACTCACCCTAGGTGTTTGAGGCCGGTCCCAGGGCCTTTGACATCACTGCGTGCACTGGCAAGTATGAATGTGAGCGCACGTCCACCCAGGGAATAACGGATGAAAACGGTTGCGAGCCAGTCATGGCAGGCGGAGAAACTGGGCCTCTTCCGCCCCTCAGCCCTGGCAGCTGCTCAGGTCCCTCCCTTCCTTCCTAGCTCCCCTCTCTTCTCTTTTCCATCCACACTCTTCTGTTCATTGGTGGCCATGTTATCTCCCCTCTCTGGACCCTGCTTCCCACACACTGGCCTGGCTCGGACTCTTGGACACACTGGATGAGGGACTGGGGGCAAATCAGGGCCCGCACATGTTGGGTGCTTCTTATGCTCTGGCTGTTCCCTATTTCTCTGCTTCCCCATGGGTCAGAAAACTAATAAAAACAGCAAATTGTTTTCTGGAAAGATATCCAAAATTCACTCCAAGTCGGGATCTGTTGATATCCCCTAGATTTTTCTCTTTTTTGAGAAAGATTTTTGCTATAGGGCGCGTGTGGTTGCCAGAGAGACAGAAAGTGAGAAATCATTCCCACCCTCAGGAGGGATGGCCATGCCACAATCCTTTCTCTTCCATTCTCCTCTCAGGATTTTTGCACATATGCCCAGCATGAGTTTTAAGCCACCGGGTCCAGGGCTAGAACCACAGTTGACCACATGGGAGTCAGTGATGTAACAATTATGCCATCTGCTGGTATCCCCCTCCCCCTGAGTTTTAATTCCTGCCCTCAGCATCTACTTAGCCATGTTGGCAAGAGGCACCCTTCCATCACTTCTCTAGGATCAGAAAGGCCCCAGGAATGACAACATGGACCTAAAAACCACCGCATTTAAGTTTTACCCTGGAAAAACCAGGTAACTCAGACGCAGAACTGAGTATTTACCCCAGTTCCTGTAATGGAGGAATATACCTCCAGAGAGAGAAGGGGAAAGGAGCCAACTTCCAGTGAGTCCCAAATCCACCCCAGTGCTGTGTGCAGTTCCTGTACTGGATTTCAATGAATTGTCAATCCAGCTGGAGGAGGTAGGGAGGTAGGGGACTGACACGCACTGCACTTGGCCTGCACAACTCTGTCACGTATGCTACAACGGCTAGGTCCCCACTATCTGATGAGGACCCTGGGAGATGCGATCGCATGCCCAAGATCCTGTGTTCAGGAACTAGCAGAACCGGGGTGAGAGGTCTCATGCCTCTTAGTTCAGTGACTTATTTAGGACCCTCTGTAGTCCCACTGGCCAGAAAGCAGGGTACACACTCAAGGTCACACAGGTCAAGCTAAAAATCCTGGTCACCTACTAAAACATTCTGTCTTCTTCTTGCTGAGGAGGACACCACGATCCTTCATTCCTTTTTTTTTTTTCCTTCTACTTCACCTATTTGAAATGACACTGGAGGTCCTTCATAAATACTATTGTTGGTTATTTGACTAACCGATTAAAGAACCAACAGGATCAAGTAAGGGCAAGTTGTGTCCTTGTTTATTTAGAAGTGTCATTCTTGCTTTGATCACCACCTCTGGTGCAGCAGAAGGGCCCATGGGGCATGTGACTGCAGTACTGACTGGGTCCCCAGGGTCTGCATTCTTGTGAATCCCAGGGTCAGTCCTCTGAAGCTAAGTGAAAGGAGAAGCTCCCGATTAAGATTTTGCATTATTCTCTACAAAATGGCCACACTCAATGGGTATGGTAACTTCAGATTTCTCTCACCCTAAGATTTTATTATAGGGACAAACAGGTGGCATGGTGGTTAGGGCCCTGGACCCTCCCACATGGCTGACCACGGTTTGAGTCCCGGACCTGGTGGCTTGCTTTCTTACTTTCCCTCTGGGAACCAGCAGTTAGCGTAATGGCTAAGTCGCTGGACTCCCACGTAGTTGACCGTGGTTCGCATCTCGGACCCGGTGGCTTAAAACTCACGCCAGGCGCGTGTGCGTGCGTGCCCAAGATCCCGAGAGGAGAATGGAGGAGAAGGGATTGTGGCCTGGCCATCCCCCCTGGGGGGTGATTTCTCGCTTTCTGTCTCTATGTTTCTGTCTGTCTGGTGAGCATCTGATGAGGACCCTGGGAGATGCGATCGCATGCCCAAGATCCTGTGTTCAGGAACTAGCAGAACCGGGGTGAGAGGTCTCATGCCTCTTAGTTCAGTGACTTATTTAGGACCCTCTGTAGTCCCACTGGCCAGAAAGCAGGGTACACACTCAAGGTCACACAGGTCAAGCTAAAAATCCTGGTCACCTACTAAAACATTCTGTCTTCTTCTTGCTGAGGAGGACACCACGATCCTTCATTCCTTTTTTTTTTTTCCTTCTACTTCACCTATTTGAAATGACACTGGAGGTCCTTCATAAATACTATTGTTGGTTATTTGACTAACCGATTAAAGAACCAACAGGATCAAGTAAGGGCAAGTTGTGTCCTTGTTTATTTAGAAGTGTCATTCTTGCTTTGATCACCACCTCTGGTGCAGCAGAAGGGCCCATGGGGCATGTGACTGCAGTACTGACTGGGTCCCCAGGGTCTGCATTCTTGTGAATCCCAGGGTCAGTCCTCTGAAGCTAAGTGAAAGGAGAAGCTCCCGATTAAGATTTTGCATTATTCTCTACAAAATGGCCACACTCAATGGGTATGGTAACTTCAGATTTCTCTCACCCTAAGATTTTATTATAGGGACAAACAGGTGGCATGGTGGTTAGGGCCCTGGACCCTCCCACATGGCTGACCACGGTTTGAGTCCCGGACCTGGTGGCTTGCTTTCTTACTTTCCCTCTGGGAACCAGCAGTTAGCGTAATGGCTAAGTCGCTGGACTCCCACGTAGTTGACCGTGGTTCGCATCTCGGACCCGGTGGCTTAAAACTCACGCCAGGCGCGTGTGCGTGCGTGCCCAAGATCCCGAGAGGAGAATGGAGGAGAAGGGATTGTGGCCTGGCCATCCCCCCTGGGGGGTGATTTCTCGCTTTCTGTCTCTATGTTTCTGTCTGTCTGGTGAGCGCACGCGCCCTATAGCAAAAACCTACCCGCCCCCAAAAAAAGATTTTATTATAAATCCACTGAGCCCTGGTTGCAAAGGGGTGGAGAAGGCACAGGGGATGAACTTTAATTAATACCAATGTCTCCAAGGACTTGATAAAAGATTATTCTATTCTGGAGAAACTGCAAATATGTCCTAAAGGATCTGTCTTATCAAATGACAAATTGCTAATCCAATTAGCTTATCATAATCATAAAACCCAGCTTACTGTTAAATCAGAGTAAAAAATAGAGATGGACATTAAGTGGTATTGGCACTACTTGAGAAAGGTTCAAACACTATTTTAAAATGAAAAGAATGCAAAATGTATTAGCAACTTAATCCTCTGGCTAATAAAATAAGTTTATTTATATATACACAGTAGCTGAATTCTGTGGATAAGGAAAAATAAGTCATACATCCACGTATGTGTGTATATATAACATATGTATCTTTGATTACATATATTATATATAAGTTCTGCTTTACAAACAGATTTCTCTCTGTATATACTCACACACATTGACATAGTAAATGCGATAGCTAACAGAGACAGTATGATAAGGTTAAAAAGCCCAGACAGCAACACGTTACAAAATGAATCTCAAAGTAACTGCTTCTCTGTGGGTTGAAGCCTTGGGGAGAGACCACCACCAAACTCGTGTTAAGTAGGTTCATACAACATTAAGAACACACATTTTTGAAGGCCATATTTTTTTTTAAAAAAAGAGGAAAATGCAGAACGAGAAGAAAAAGTCGTGATAGAAGACCACAGCAAAGACACAAACATATGAATCAACATTCAAGTTGGGTTCCCAATCGGACTGTAAGAACATTTATATTCAAAATATACTATCAAACTATTTTTCTTTCTGAGAAAGGAAGTGTCAAAGCAGTTACCGTCTCCCTTAGCCACTAGTAGGAAAAGAATCGGGGCGCAGCCATCTCTGGAAGCCCCTCTGATATCTCTGAGGGTCTGACCCCTTGAGCTACCCAGGGACACGGGGAGCAGCAGAAGGAGTGAGGGGAAGACGAGAGCTGGATAGCGAGTCTATCGCCCATGCTGCGAGCGGGTCTGCAATGAGCCGGGATCTAATGAATCTTCTCCCAAGCATTTCAGTTGGGCAATCTTGTTTTTATAAGATGGTGGGAGGAAAGTGTCAAAAATTATACTTCTACACCTGAAGCTTCTTAGATAAACATATTTTTCAGGGACACAATATCATTGCCTTTTGAAAAAAACAAAGCTGAACCCCAATAGGTAATTGATCCTTGAAGAAGGGCAAGCATTTTAAAGCTCCAGGACTGAGATCTGCACTTAAATTTTCTCCCTGGGAATGGTCCAGGGGTTTAATGCAGATGCGGGTGTTATGGAGGATGCCAGGAATGGGCTTATGGGAAACATTTTTTCTGCCAGGGAAAGGCAGTTCTGAGAGCATGGTGGAAGCTCCCTGCTGTGTGATTTTAGGGCAACATGGCTTTAGGATGTCTCAGTGTCCTCTGTGGGTTCTTGAGGGCCGCATGTCCCT